TTCTTTTGCCAGTATTGTTGTTTCATGAAAATGAGATTTTTTTGTATTTTGGAGATTTCTAAGGATTCCAAGATTTTTCTGTTTGCCTGGAGCTCTTTGTATATTTTCTTGCTGCCTGTTTGTTTATGTCGCGTTTCTAGTTCATGAATATGTTCCAATGTGGTTTTGATGAGATATTCTCTCTCTTTTTTTCGTTTGGAGGAAATTGCAATCAACTTCCCTCGAAGAACCGCCTTGAAAGCATCCCAAACAAGGTGATCTCCCACGTCTCCAGTGCAGTTTTCCTTGAAATAAAGATTGATTGTTTGTTCTAAGTCTTCTTTGATGTCGTCTTGTAATAAAACAGAATTATTTAATCTCCAAGTGTGTTGTGAGTTGTGTTTTGTTGATTTTTTAAGATGCAGTTCTGTGTATGCATGATCAGACCAGACGAATGGACCGATTAAAGTATTTGCAATTTTGGGGAAAATAGCATCTGAGACAAGTAGATAATCGATACGTGAATATGAGTTGTGCCTGGCAGAGAAGAACGTATAGTCTCTTTCCCCTTGATGCATCTCTCTCCATGAGTCTATGAGATGAAATTTTTTAAAAAGATCTCGCAGATTGGTGAATCTGTTGCGCTGTGAAATGATCTTTTGTTTTTCGCCTGACTTATCTAATAGGCGATCCGAAATTAGATTCAGGTCGCCACCGATAATCACTTGACCTTCCTTAAATTGTTCTAGCATCATCAGAGTTTCAGCTAGGAATGTGTCTTGTGACGCATTCGGGGCGTACAGGGAGGCCAATGTAATTAGCTCTTGATCTAGCGTGCCCTTTACAAATAGAAATCGCCCACGAGGGTCTTCTAGTTTGTCTTTCAAAATGAATGACACTGACTTAGCCAGCAAGATCGCCACTCCTCTTGCTTTCGACGAGCCTCCAGCCTGGTATTGCTGGTCATACCAGCCGACATTCAGAACAGGGTTATTTTGCTTTTTAAGATGAGTCTCTTGCATGAAGATCACATCTGGTTTTGTTTTAAGGATGAAAGATGACATTTTTCGACGTTTAATACAGTTGTTTAATCCGTGAACATTAATGGATCTAAATATATAAGTATCCGCCATTTGAGCTTAGTTAAAATATTGTCACAGACTACTCAGAGGTAAAAATACACTTATTAATAAAAAACTATCAAGCAGCGAAATTCCTGCAGTATGCAAATTAGATCAATAAGAATATCAAATAGGACACAGGGCCCAACTTATAATAAATTCAGAAAAAGTAAGTCCTGAAGAACAATCAAGAAACTGTAAAGATATTATTTTTCTTTTGTCCCCCCAGTTAACTTATGTTGGGGTCTACTATGTTATGTAAACAATGTCAACCTTTAAGAAGTAAAACTATTAACAACTTGCCCTAACCAATGATACTCAGAATCTCAGAAAAATAAAAAATTCTTCTGAGGGACTGTCGCGGTACAGTCGTCTGAGTATCCACACACACACAGGAGGCAAACTGAACAACTGAGACACCCCCCCCCAGCCCCCTCCCCGCCCTAGTTTCTAATTAACTGAATAGCAGAAATCATGCACAATTATGTCTTATGTACAACAGAACAAGATGTAACATTTTTGAAGTCATATTAATGAAGCCTTATCATGGAGATTCTCCTAGGTGAGACAAGACAGGTAGTTTACTTGGTTTCAGAGGGGAAGATGGGGAGCGACCTCTCTTAAAAGCCTGTTTCTCTCCTTGTTCCATAGGATGTTCTTGATCCAAAGCTTGAAGTAGCTTTCTTCCACTATGTTCGTCCCAGGCATATAAGCGTAGGCCTTGATGTGCTACATAGAGTTTCCCTGAAGGAAGCCACTTGTATTTTTGTTTCATTTTTTGGAGAGTAGAGGTGGTAGCTTTCAAGGTTTTCCGTATTGCAATAGCTTCTTTAGGAATATCTGGGTAGACATGAATTGGGTCCCCATTAAATTGAAAAAACCCCGTGTTTTTAGCCGCTTCTAAGATCGTTTGCCTGACTCTGGCATCAGGGATTGTCACTATAATGTCTCTCGGCTTTGGATGGGCACTCCTAGGAATTGGGCCTACTCGCGCTGCTGCTGTAATTGTGGGAAAAACTCCTTCTTCAAGCTTTAGTGATGATGCAATGTAATGTGCCATAAAAATTATTAAGTCTTTATTTTCCTCTGCTAATTCAGATATGCCTCTGAATTTCAGGTTAGCCATTTTAATTTCTGCTTCCAAGGAGATCAAATGGTCTTTTTGTAGTTCAGAGATTTTTTGTAGTGCTTTGATCTCTGTTTGATTGCCTAGGCCAGTTTCTAACGCTTCTGCAGCCGTCTGAGCAGTGTGCTGCAAGGACATTTGCATAGTTTCTAGTTGACACGACAGACTATCGATTTTATGGCAAATGCCTGCCTCCATATTTTTAAGATACTCTAAGATTGCCGAATGAGCGGTTTCAGGCAGTATGTGCTCCGCTTTTTCGTTTGCGCCCGCCATTTTGATTTCCGGCCGGGGATTATTGCCGCGCAAAAGCACAGATTCTGCAGGGTCTTTGAGGATTTTCGGGAAAGTAAGTATATTTCTAGGCTTACCCGCTTCTGTTCTGTTCGTTTGGTCAGGTTTTGGCATGATTTCGGCAGCGTTTAAATAGGCGGGAGGGGAACCAGTTCAGGAGCTCAGCGTTCACGCGACCGCTCTGTTCATAGCGTCGCCCCGCCCCCCCTGAAGACATTTCCATGGTCATGTGGCCGGCATCACTAAATGCCAAGGCACACGGAACGCTGTTACCTTCCCACCAAAGTGGTACCTATTTATCTACTTGCAATTTCTTGCTTTCGAACTGCTAGGTTGGCAGGAGCTGGAACTAGAGACGGGAGCTCACTCCGTCATGCGGCAACTCGGGTCTCGAACTGATGAACTACTGACCTTCCACTGCCTGCAGTTCAGCGTCTTAACCAGTTGAGCCACCGCAGCTCCTTGAAACATATAAGTTAATACAAATCAGAATAAGTTGTTCTCATTCATAAATATGACTGAAATGGTGCCATGAGCCACATTTTCATCGCCACACCGTTTGGACAACTTTTTTGGTTGTGTGTGAATACCCACTATGTCATTGCAGGTTTTAGAAGGGAGGAAGATTCATACATCATAAAGCTTGATCCCAGAAATTGTAAGTATGAGAGTTGGAGCTGGATCATCCTCACCTTCCCCTTTCTACAGCAGCCCCCCCCCCCCGTCACAAACCAAAACTCCTCTGCTGAGCCTCAGAAGGCCCTCATAAACAAATTGCACCAGAGTGGGTGGTGGTATGGTCTTCTATACTAAGGATGGGGAACCGGGGAAAATCCCCACTTGCCAGGATTCTCAGGTGTTTGGTTTTGAACTGGACAGTCCAGTAGTTGCCATCCCTGTCCATGAAGTAAATTAATAAAAGACCAGACATACACGTTTCTAGGATTTTCCGATTAAGAATTCCAAGAACCGGGCAGCTCCAAAGAGAAAGAGTTGGGAGGGGGGAGCTCAAGGGTTAAACTAGAAAGCAAATGAGAAAATAAAGGGGCAAAAAAAAGAGGAAATCACACCTAAGTGCTAACGTTTCCTCTGTTCCCCATCTGGGAGGAGAAAATGAATCTCCCCTTCCTCTAGCAACAGAATGGTTTCTCCCCCTCCCTGAAGTGAGCAGGTATAAAGTTATTACACATGTGTCAAGGAGGACTAGTTTTCTATCTGTCCTCTTTGTTGTAAGGTGGAGAGTTAACTTTTGCTCAGTTTTGCATTGCTTTTTTCTTTCTTTCTCCTTCTCACTTGGGGAGATGCTTTGCCTGCCATGCCTCTCCCACTGCCTCCAAGCTGGCTGCCTCTTCTGGCTGGCTCCCATCTGGGAAAAAAGCAGGGTGCTTCTCTTTCATTCTCCTGGACTGAACTGAGACCTAGGTTTCCTGTCTCATTACCAATGCTGATTTCTCCACGCCTACTACTACTCTGCATATCACACCTAATCCAATCACGCCTGCTATTGTAATTCGCCTTCTATTGTCATTCAGCATCTGAAATCACTCTACTCTCAATTATAAGGACAGATGGACTCACATTCTAGCTGCAGCAGTGATGTCACTTTGCAATGTCCCCAACACCTGAATGTGTTGGGGTGAAATCGTGCAGTGACACTCTGGTTTGAGAGCAAAACTATATGGTTTGAAGCTGGTTTTACCACAGAGTTTTGCCCAAACAAGATGTGCCCCCCCTCAAATCCCCCCACCAGTGTGACAAGGGGACCTGGCAACGCTACCAGTGTTTTTGTTGAAACCATCTGGCAATCTTACCCTCGCTTCTGACTTGGACTTGATTTTTCCACCAGTGGCAATACTAATTGACCTCTCAACATCAATATAATGCAATGAAACACTTTAACAAAATGGAACACTCATCCATATACTAATACTTTTGTAGGAAGGAAAACAACCAGATATACCTGGCAAGTTGTCTGTTCCCTCTCCTGTTCCATAAAAGTGCTAAAATCACTGCCTCCATATTCCAGTACATTTCTTTATCCACTGGACTGAAAATAACACTGATTATTCTTTGACTTTCTAAAACATTAGTTCTAGACAGCAATCACAAGATAATTTATATTAGAGTAGATAAAGAGTATTTTAACATGTATTAGCTTTGGCTTTTGCTCCCAAAATCTGCGTGGCTAAAGCACAGTAAACACTTGACTTTTTCCTGTTCTCCCAAAGAATCTTGTTAGGACACAGAGATGATTTTAAATCACCGCAAAAGCACTACACAACAAAACAGTTTGCGAGCTAATTAAATATAAACATATGCTTATGAAAAGATGGAATCCATAATGTTAACAATTAAAATGCTGTATATATTTAAAACATTCCTTTAAAGTTTCAGATTGTATTTCAAAAACACCGCCTCCATGCAGTAATACATCCAGAACATACATTCCAGCCATTTCATCTTACAATGCATTTCCCCCCAATTTTAGAAATTGTAATTAGCTTATATTGTGATATCATGTGGGATACATGAGTATAAAAATCCAAAAGAGTCAAAACACCTAAAGACATGTTTAGTACACTCCTTTTCCAGCCTTAAATGGCAAGGAGTTCATATTCAATTAAAACTATCCTGTTCCAATCAAAAAAAGATGGAGCCGTTTTGAATACTGTGCAAAAACAAATCCCAAACAACATCTTGTTGAACAAACACCTGGTGACGTTTTATATAAAATAGTTTGTTTCCAAAGTGACTGTGAAAACACTGAATGTTTGTATTTGGAAGTTCAATCAAGCTTTACTTTGAACTGCTTTGAAATATTCTTCTGGTACAACGGCACTAATTCCTCCATACCAGTTCTGAAGCCAGATGTGATCTATGTTCATTTTCATAAAGAACCATTCATAATTGCGAGGCCATTTTCTCATGACAGGGTGCCTGGAAGAACAGAGACAAGATAACCAGGCAGATTTACAATAATGTCAGTCTACAAAATTTCTTCCAGCTCATAGTTTGAGGACGTGCAGCGACATGTCGTTTTAAGTAATGTTCTCTGATGACTGCGGATTATTCTCCAATAGATGTGGCAACCACTGGAAAACAAATGACCCCGCCACTTATAAAAACACATCTTAAGACTGAATATGTGTGCAACTGCTTGTCCATATTTTTAGTTCTGATTGAAAAGAAAAGAAGGGGAGAAACCCCCCTAAAACTATCCTAGTCAGTACAAGAATGAAAAGAAATAATGTAAAGCAGGGGTGTCAAACGTAATGCATGGGGGCCAGAACCGGCCCATCCAGGGCTCTTATCTGGCCCACAAGCAACTGGTATATATGGAAATATGAGGTACTTCCCTTTTTATGGTATCCCTTGGAAAAAAACCTAGTCTTGCATATGATTAATACATTTATTGGGGCTTTTGTGTGCTCCCCAGTAAATCAATTGCTTTCACTTCTAGGAATCAATTGTTTTTGTTTGTATTTTGAGTAAAAAAAATAATTTGTTAATTGGGTTTGCCTGTGTCCTTTATAAAGTTTATATCTCTGGTACCCAGCATTACATTTTATGGCACACAGGGCCGGGCCAAGAAAATGACATTTAAGTCAGATCAGCCCTTGTAAAATAAGACTTCAGCATAGAAAGTTTGGTACCGACATACTCCAAATATTCAGGCTTTGGACTGTTTTATTTATGGTAGACATATTGAAGGGTTAGGGTTAGGCTTAGTCTGTGGTACCACTCGGAAGTAAGGGAAAAGAAGGAATTCTGTCTTTAGGTAACCTGTGTGTGCTACCTGCCATTTTAAAAGCATGGTTAAATCCTACCCATTTCAGTCATTGACTAGAGGGATTTTAGAATACTTTTATTGGCTAAACAACAACTTTTCAATTTACGATTAACTCTTATGAGCAGACTATTCCAGAGAAATTCTGTGGTGAGGGAGAGACAATGCCCTTATATCCCCATAGTGAAGTGGACTATTCTTTTAATTATTTTATTTAAAACATCTCTCTATGCTGCTTTTCTGCCAATATAAGGTCCCCAATGCAAAGAAGAACAAAACATTAAAATATTTCAGAATTAAAACATTTAAGATATTAAAACAAGTATTCAAAATAAAGTATATATAAAATATTTAAATAATGCAATAAAAATGTATAAAATACAAAAACACATGACAGGGAGGAGGGCCAATAACATTTATTGAGAGTACACCAAATAAAACAAAAAAGTCTTCACCCACTGGCAAACGACCACCATAGAGAGACAGACAGACAGACAAATCTCTTGGGAGAAGGGCTGCAATGTTTTGGCACCAAGACCAAGAAGGCCCTTTCTTGGGTTCTTTCCCACCTGTCAGGCCTCACATGGCGGGAACAACCGAAGCAGGACCTCCAAAGAAGGCTGGAGTGAACTGGCAGGACCATAGGGAGAAAGGCGGTCCTTAAGGTATGCTGGCCCCAAACCATATAGGGCTTTAAAGCTCAATACCAGCACCTTGAATAGACCAGTAGCAAATTGGGAGCCAGTGTAGATGGAACAAAATTGGAATGATATAGTTCCTATGATCGACTCCAGTTAACATTTTGGCTGCTGCATTCTGTGCCGACTGTAGCTTCTGGACAGCCTTCAAGGGCAGCCCTGCATGCAGTGCATTGCAGTAAACTAATCCAGATGTTGCCAGGGCATGCACTACAGTGACAAGATCTTTCCCGTGCAGGAAGGGCCACAGCTGGCTCTCCACTTGTTTATCAAACAGGGAGCGGGTCCAGCAACATCCCCAAGCTACAAACTTGCTCCTTTAGGGGGAGTGCAACCCCATCCAGAACAGGAGATATTCCAGTTCCTACGTCAAACCTTCCCCCCCCCAGTAGCACCTCCGTTTCGTTGGGATTAAGTTTCAGTTTGTTAGCCCTCATCCATGCCCTGCTGCCACCAGCCACCTGTTTCCAGTTTCCACAGCTCCCTGGGATCTACTGAAAGCCTGAGTTAGGGATGAGTGTCGTCTGCATATTGGTGGCAGCTCAGCCCTAAACTCTGGATGACTGCTTCCAGCAGCTTTGCATAGATGTCGAAAAGCATGGGGGACAAGATGGAATCTCATGGGAACCTGCCAGAGGACTAGAGGTGGAACAGTATCCCCCCCAGCACCACATTCTGAAACCTAGCTGCAAAGTAGGACTGAAAGCACCTCAGAATAGTGGCTCCCAGTCCCAACCCCAAAAGTGTTGGAATACACAAGGTCTATAGTGCACCAACTTGAAGAAGATCAGAAGAACAGCCTATAGGGGACAGCTGAAGGACTGCTAGTTAGCTAGATTATGGACTTCCCGTAATTTCCAAATTATGTCCTTCCTGTCTTCCGATTGGCTCTTTGGAGACTTCATGCTCCAACGGAGCCCTCCCCCTTTGTTCCTGTCTCTCACAGCAGTTAGTCAAGCCTCCATCCCTCTCCTCTGTTCTATCAGAGTTTATTTCTTCTTTAATAAACCAAGTTATTTTCTTTAAACAGTTGGTTCTCCTTTCCTCTGCATGTTTAAACTCTGCCAACAAAAAGTTGGTCCAGAAGGATACCGTGATCAATGGTATCAAAGGCCACTAAGACATCCAGGAAAATTAACAGGTTTGCACTCCCCCGTCCATCTCCCAATACAGGTCATCCACCAGGGACGCACCAAGGCCTTTTCAGTCCCATGATGAAACTGAAACCAGACTGGATTGGATCCAAAAAATGTGCTTCATTCAGGAGTTCCCGAAGTTGCCCACCACTTGTTCAGTCACCTTGCTCCAGAATGATACACTGAGAATGGACAATGGTTATTAATATTTTCTGGTTTCAGAGTTCCTGCTTCAAGGCAGGAACAACCACCTCCTCTCTTATTTACTGTCTCCCAGGCTCAGTTTACCAGCCTCCCTCAGCAGTTTTAAGGAGCCAGGAAGGGCAAGTGTTGTACAAACAGGTGGTAGGTGTCAAACTTCCAAGAATCCTGTCTGCATCTTCAGACTGCACAAGCTGAAAGGTATCGCACGTAACTGGATAAACTAGCACCCTGGGAACATTTGATCCTGTCTCCGCTAAAGCAGAGTCCAAACATAAGTGGATGTGAGAGATTTTATCTGGAAAGTATTGAACAAAATGTTCACAGCAGGATACAGCGGAGACCACTTCCTCCTGAAGGCCAGAACCCAATAGGCCCTTGACCACTCGGAACAGTTCCACATGTCTACACGGTACCAATGCAAAGGCAGACAACAAATATTATTTCTTTGCTACCAACACTGCCATGAGGTATGCTTTAAAATGAGCTCCAGCCTGTGCCTTGTCAGTCTCTCCCCACTGTCACCCTAGCTGCCAAGGGGCTGCCAGAGTTCTTAGACCAGACAGAGGGCATTTAGGATCAATCGTGTCAATTGCTCAGGTCATTTCCTCATTCCAGGGGGCATTGATAGAAGCTCTGACCATATAGCAGGAAAATCCCATAAGGCCATCTGAAAACCAGTTGGATGCATTAGACTACAGGGGCGGGTGATCTTATAATTGATCCCCTATTCCTGCATTCCTGGTATCCCTGTTAGTCTAAACTTCAGCAAGTAGTGATCTGTTCATGACAAGGGGACCATGTTCAATCTCCCACATTCAGATCATCTTCTTCCTGCCCAGAGCAGAACACCAGATCAAGAGTGTGACCTGCACAGCGTGTGGGGCCTGTTATTTCCTGAGACAGGCCCATGGTTGTCATGGAGACCATGAAATCCTGAGCCACTCCCAACAAGGTAGCCTCAGCATGCATGTTGAAGTCCCTCAACACAGCCATCCTAGGAGTCTTCAATTCTACCTTCCAGATCAATTCCACCAGCTCAGGCACAGAGACTGTTGGGCAGGAGGGTAGGGTGCTACATCAACAAGATCCCAATCCAGTCTCACGCTCCCAACACTTGAAATACACTCTCAAAACTGGCAGAGTCCTGGATGGGGCCTCTAACCTGGTGGATAGCTTCTCAACAGACCACAGCAACACCACTTCCCCATCCGTCAGGCCTGCGGTGACGAATCACTGAGTACCCTGGAGGACATAGTTGGTAAAGGTTTTAACTTCTCTCCCCTCCTCCAACCAGAGCACAGTGACACATGCCAGGTCAGTCCTCTCATCCAGAATTAAACCCTGAATGGCTGCCATTTTGTCTCTAATTGACTTAGCATTTAAAAAGCAAGATACGATAGCCCAGGAAGACACTGATACGGTCACCAGCATCAACCTGACTGGAGGAAGAACCAGAAAGGGCAACAGCCTGCAAAAAGCCTGCTGTCTCTTCCCCTTACCTGGTATGCTGTTCTCCCACCACTGTATCTCCCAGCACCTCACAACCTATGGATTATGGCACCACCCCCAACCCTATGCTGCTCTTCCAAGCATATCTCTACCCAACAGGTGACACAAGGACAAATGACAACACTTAGCCTGTGGTCATGCATGCTAAACAATCCATTTTCAATCTACTTTCAGTGCACTTGCCAACTGGATTTTTTTTGTGTGAACTGGCAAAATCCAGTTGGAAAGTGGTTTGAAAGTGGATTATTTAGTGTGTGATCACAGCCCTAAACACTGCAATCTAGTGAGGTTTGTGTACAGAAGTCCTGGGTCTAGTCCCTGGCAGCTTGAGTCAAAAGGATCTCAGATATTATGTCCGCCTTTTCCTGCTTGAGTCCCCAAAGAGCTGTCTCCTATTAGAGCTGGCAACGCTGAACTAAATTAACTAATTTTCTGATTTGGTATAAGTGTATTCCTTCCATTCTCAATTATAACAGCTTGTTTTTAACCCCACCCCACCCCCTTAGAACAGATTCATACAGACCTGGAAAACAATGCTTGCTTGGCAAATTCTATTTCTTCCAGAGGTACTGTAACCATCTGTCCCGTCAAAATGAGCCTGGCACACCGTGGATCATCAGGATCAACAACAGTTTTCCTGCAAGCAAACACAAATGTTATGTTACTGCTGATTTCTGCATCAGAACATTTCCTTTAAGAACTACAGATAGTCACTACGAGACACAAACGAACAATAACTAGGATCTTCTGAGGTGTTTTAAAAACTAATTAGCAGCCCCAGGCAGCAGTTTTGAAATTATAGAAAGGTCTCTGTGAGAGCTTGTCTAACTCTTATTTAGCAATAAGCCTAATCTTTCCCTTGCCTCTAATTTTAAACAACTGTCATTTTGCAATAGTGTTCCTAATGACAACACAATAAAAATGAGTGGTGACCTTTGCTTGTTACAAAATAAAAATAAGTACTTGAGCCCCCACCCACCCACCAAGAGCTGCTAACCAAACTCTTATTAATAAGAAAACCAGCAAGCCCCAAGAAAACAGGAAGCAATTAGTTATCCTGGAAACAACATGGAGGAAAAAAGAGAAAGTGCAGAGAGAAACCAGAACCTTTGCTGAATTTATTTCCAAAGACATATATAGGGATCTTGCTGATTGGGGCTTTGGGGGGGGGGGAGAAGAGGTGCTGGAACTCTCGAAGGAAATGAAGTTTTCAATTTGTATACTGAAAACTCATGAACTTAAACATTTTAAAAGGAATTTTGTCAAAGGGGTTCTGGAATTCCGTTCCGGTGCATTCCCCCAGGAAAAAAGCCCTGTGGCTGAAGGAGATTGTTTCATAGGGAATATAGCACTTTATTCAGCTTGTAGAGCTAGGGTTGCAAAATGGTACCGATGTGGTGGGGGACTCCAGTCTGGCTCCTGGTGTGTGCGCACGCACACTGCATGCACGTCACAGGGAAGTGACGTCATGACGCCGGGCACGCTGGGGCGGGGCCACAGCCATTTGAGGGGGAAACTCTATGTTTCCCCCTTAAATGGCTGTGGCCCCACCCCCAGCATGCCCGGCGTCATGACGTCACTTCCCTGTGACGTGCATGCGGGGGGGGGGTTCCCCGGGGCCCGATTCCGCCATGGCGGAAATCAGGCCTCCAGAGCGGGGGTTTCCCCACCCCCCGGCCCGATTTGGCAGCCCTATGTAGAGCCCCCATTCACAGTTTGCAGTGCAAATCTTAGAAAGATGCAGCTCTTTTAGAACTGCACTTTAAAACACATACTCTGAAGTTGCATCAAGATGGGTAGCCATGTTAGTCTGTCTGCAGCAGCAGAAAAGAGCAAGAGACTTAAAGACTAACAAAATTTATGGTAGAATATGAGTTTTCATGAGTCACCTTCATCTGATCCCTGTAGTATGGAGATGAGCTGTAATTCTGGGGGAACCCTAGATCCCACCTCTCTAGTCCTGACCCATTGGCTGAAGACCACTTAACTAGTAGGTATAGATGAGGAGATGGCGATAGAGGAAGGAAACGTATGAAGAAATAGCAGTAGTTCCCCAAATGCAATGGCATTCGACTTCAAATACTGTTTCTTCGTATGATAATTAGATGTAAAACTCAAGCTTCTTTCTCTGGCTAGGTCTGGCCTGCAAAGCTATTGCTTTCTGGACCTGCCCCCAGCAAATTGGGTGTGACACAAATTCCAGTGAATTGGTGTAGCAATCAAAGGCCATTGAGCAAATACCTTCAATTATACAAAAGCTGAGGGAAATAAGGGCATTTTGCATACCAAAGAACATGTTTAGGATAAACTTAACAAAGCGTCACCCAGTTATAGTTTCCTGCCAGAAAAGACTACTTCACTATACAGGGAGAGCTGGTTGATTTTTATTTTTGCATTTTTAAATGTTGATCTCTTGTTTCCATCATGTGGCCCCTAAAGTGGATGACAACTGCTGAATAACTACAGAATGGGGCAAGCAAAAACAGCAGCATAGAAACAAGAAGATTCATCAAACGTCACAAAAGTTTTCCCTAGGTGTCTGACAAGTAGATCTGGCATGGACACTGGACGGTTGCGGCCAAATGAACTACACTTACCTTTTCCACAGGAGAGCCAGCATAGTGTAGTGGTTAAGAGAGACAGACTCTAACCTGGAGAACTGGGTTCGATTCCGCACTCCTCCACATGAAACCAGCTGGGTGACCTTGAGTCAGTCACAGCTCTCTCAGAGCTCTCTCAGCCCCCAAAATAAGTCTAGCTCACCACCTAGTGGTGCATAATGCTAAAAGAGCTAGTACTTCAGGCTGCTAGACAATCTTAGGAACTCCTGGCCATACGACACACAATGCCACATGATGATTATTAGTGATTAATGTCTTCCCTGAGTCTGCCCCAAGGACTCTCAGTAAGACATCAGTTACAAGTTCCCCACTAAGAAATCAGTTCCTGGCCTAAAACAGCTTCTAAAACAGGACAAAGAGATCCCCCTTCCCAGGGCTGTGCCGAGTCAGGAAAATGGTGCGGTAGAGGATGGCGAAAGACGCTTCCTCTGTGTATGCCGCAGTCCCAAACTGAACTGGGCTGTGTGTTGCTTGGGAACTGAGTTCTACCTGTGAGTTCTTGGATCACACCTGGAAAAGACATGGGGAATAGGCAATGCTCCCATGAACAATGACCCCCAAGTAGATTCTCCATCATGCAGCAGCTTTGACGTGGAGCAGCACTTAGCGCAGTCACGCTGGCATGATCGTCATCTGCTGGCCGTAGGAGCAACCAGGGCTATTTTTGGGCAGGCATGCACAGGAACGGAGTTCCGGCTGGCTTCAGTGTTGGTCATGCCCACTACAGCTAAAATCTCTGTGTGTGTGGCTACAGAGGGAAGGCCTGGAGAGCGACCCCCCCAGCGACTCTGAAACGGGCGGGCCAGGGCCCCCCTGGAAGGATCGGGAAGGCATTTAAGGGCCGGCTTGCCAGGCATCCCGCAGCCGTGGGGCACCTGGGCTAGTCAAGGGAAGACATGGGGTGTGGCCTAATATGCTAATGAACTGGTGTTGGGGTGTGGCCTAATATGCTAATGAGTTTCTGCTGTTTGGTGTGGCCTATTATGTTAATGAGTTCTTGCTGGGCCTTTTCTATGAAACGAGCACTGGGAGCAACATAAGCACTGGTTGGTGGTCCTTTGCTACACTCCCTCTGGATTCAGAGCAACAAGGACTCCAGCTCTCAAACTTCTTCCTACTATAGCAGAAGGGGAGACTCCAAGGAGGCCCTAGTTGATGCCAGCATTAGAGAAGAGAGCCTTCTTGTTTATTTTTGTTTTATTTTATTGAATTTATATCCCACCCTCCCCACAAGCAGGCTCAGGGCGAGTTACATCAATCTCAATACAATAGAATTCAATTAAAAACAACTTTAAAATAACAATTTAAAACAGTATAGAATAATAAAATACCAAGTGAAATAAATTAGATCAGACATCAGTTAACGATGTCAGATCAATGAAGATACAACATTGGGTACCCAGATGTCTATTTGGATCCAGGCCACTGATGGGAGATTGGCCAGGGGAGGGGGGACGTCTGGCCCTTCAACCAAAAGCCTGGTGGAAGAGTTCCGCCTTGCAGGCCCTGCGGAACTGTATTAGATCCCGCAGGGCCCTGATCTCATACGGGAGCTCATTCCACCAGGTGTGGGCCAGGGCCAGAAAGCAGTGTATACCAGAACCTCTCCACAACTGTAAACATTGATTTAGAATATACAAATATTATGTATATGTGTTAAACACACACACACTTTAAAACATGTACAGACTACGTTGCAAAAAACAAACCCACATATTCCATGGTGCAATTCTAGGAGGAGCTCATGCTGACAAACCTTCATCTTTTCCACCTACTACATTCTTTTCCTCTTTCACTCCCATGAGCTCCCTAGAATGACTCAGAACAAGAGACTGGCAACCTGCTTATTAAAGCATGTACCTCCACAAGGATAACGCAATATCAAATCCACAGTTGCCTATTGGAGTTTCATTGAACGTATTATCTGGGGTCTATTGGATCAGTCATAGCTGCCAGTGAGCAATTCAAGATCGCTTATCATGTAGAAGAATTTACTTCAGTATGGGAGTACACCAGTTAAGTATTCTGTGAATCTCTTCTTCTCCAGTAAGGCCTGGTTCACATGTGCCAGTGAATTAGGCTGCAGGTGGAGAGGATCCCATTTTAGAAAGCTCCTCTATATTAAAAAAATCACTGCAAATAGAACTCCAGCACCCCAAGCAAAGAGGTGGAGCATTCCTTCTTGCTGCACTTGTTTGTTGTTGTTTGCTATGTGGCTAGATAGAATCCCCCACCTGCAGTCTAAACTGGTGCAGTCCATTCTACCACTGCAGTATTTTACCAACTTGTTCTTTTGCATGTGTGAACTACATAGACTGTGTGTGCTCATGACAAATTTAAAGTCGTTTCAACAGCTGTGCCTATGTAAGCCGCCCTGAGCCCGTTTGTGGGGAGGGCAGGGTATAAGTGAAATACAATAAATAAATAAATTCATTTAATTTTTATGTCTTTCAACCAGAGAACTTTGGGAATTGTAATTCTATGCAGAGACTAGGGATTTCCAAAAAAGAATTCCAAGCAACTTTTTACAACTATTGCCACTTATGCGTGGGTTTTGACCCTGCTTGAACGCTTCTGGGAAAGTGGGCTTTCCCCCCTGCTTCAATACAGCATTGAGTTCCTTTCATGAACCTCCTGAGTTTCCCCCATCTTTTCCACCATCTTTCCGCAGCCTGCTTTGTTGTGATGTTTTGGGCAAGACTGCAGCAAGCAAAGCCAAGGTAGCACCCAGGTGGATAGGAGAAGTCCAGATCTTTCCTATCACCATCCCCCCCAAAATTGGTGCAGTTTTCCCTTGCCCTGATCCTCCATGGAAGCCATTTCCTCTCTACCACCAGAGGACTTTAAAAAACCGTCAATTGGCACATTGTGATAGCATTATAATGTTGGATTAGATACTAACTACTAAAAAAAAGGAAAGTAAAACCTAATGGATGGACTGTTATAACATTACAATGCAGTAATCAGGCATGGCACCTTTAAGAACTAGCAGCCTGACGTGGAGGGGCGGGGCTTG